ACGGGTCGGAATGCTGTTGCTGTAATACACAGAAGGATTTGAACCTGAAACTGAAGGACAGAACTTGAAGTAAGGATGGAAAGAAGGTGACACATAAAAAGATGCAGGTTTAGAATTCACGGTTCTTGCTGAATTATAATTTGGCTGGAAATGTATGTCTAAAGCTCTTCAGTGTAAAGAAGTGCTTAGCACCAGTGGCCCAAAACCTGCTATCTGACTTGCTTAGAAAAATGACTGTCAGCCACAGTCTAATCCCATCAATGGATTTTTGTTGTTTTTAACAGTTAGTAATCTACTTTTTGAGACTGGTGCCTAGAGTTTCTGGACTCTAAACTACTATTCCAGAGTGCAAAGATTCAGTTTGGTATTGATCTTATTTTGCAGAATTTATTTAGACACATTTATTCAATGATGTCACTTCTCTTTCTCTACATATTTCTACTACCTCCCGGTCAACAGACTAAGAAAGCAGAATCAGGACTCAAGCATTGAAACATTTAATGAATCTGCATAAAAACCTAACAAATGCAGACCTTCCCAACCAGTTTACCATGGGACATCATTCTTATTGATCGACTTGGGACTCCAGTCAGGCACAGCCTTTTGGCAGCTAGACAGAGCAGAGAGGTGGGCCCGGCCATGACTTTGAAAAGGTTGAGAAGCACAGAAATGAACTATTAGGCATGGCACCTAAAGATTTTTGTCTGCTGGGATATGAAATCATACACAGAAATCTGTTACATTTCTATACACATATAATGAAGTAGCAGAAAGAGAAATCAAGAAAATGATCCCATTTATAATTGCACTAAAAAGAATAAAACACCTACGTATACACTTAACCAAAGAAGTGAAAGACCTGAACTCTGAAAACTATAAAACATTGATGAAAGAAATTGAAGATGACACCAAGAAATGGAAAGACATCCCATGCTCATGGATTAGGAGAACAAATATTGTTAAAATGTCCATACTACGCAAAGCAATCTACAGCTTTAACATAATCTCCACCAAAATACCAACAACATTTTTCACACAACTAGTACAAATAATCCTGAAATTTCTATAGAAACATAAAAGAACCTGAAATAGCTAAGTATTCTTGGAAAAAAAAAAATAAAACTGGAGGTATCAGAATCCTGGATTTCAAGATATACTACAAAACTGCAGTAATCAAAACAGTATGGTACTGGCATAAAAATAAGACACACGATCAATGGAACAGAACAGAGAGCCCAGAAATAAACCCATGACTATATGGTCAATTAATCTTCAACAAAGGAGGGATGACTATGCAATGGGAAAAAGACAGACTTTTTGACAAAAGGTGCTTGGGAAACTAGACAGCTATATGCAAAAGAATGAAACTGGACCACTTGCTTCCACCATAATAAACAAAACAAAAACAACTCCAAATGGATTGAAGATCTACATGTGAGACCTGAAACCATAAAAATCCTAGAAGAGAACACAAGCAGTAATTTCTCTGACACTGACTATAACCACCTTTTTTCTAGATAGATCTCCTGAGGCAAGGGAAATAAGAGCAAAAACAAACCATTGGGACTACATCAAAAGTAAATTAAAAGCTTTGGGGGCACCTGGCTGGCTCAGTCCATAGAGCAGGATACTCTTGATCTGGGGGGGCATGAGGTCAAGCCCCATGTTGGGCACAGAGCTTACAAAAATAAACAAAACAAAAACAAAACAAAAAACCTTCTACACTGCAAAGGAAACAAAAAGACAATCAACTGAGTGGGAGAAGATATTTGCAAATGACATATTCAATAAGGGGTTCGTATCCGAAATACATAAAGGACTCATACAACTCAACACCAAAAAACCTCCCAAATAATCCAATTAAAAAATGGGTGGAAGACATGACTGGACATTTCTCCAAAGAAGACATGCAGATGGCCAATAGACACATGAAGAAATGCTCAACATCACTAACCATCAGGGAAATGAAATCAAAACCACAATGAGATGTCACCTCACACCTGTCAGAAAGGCTAAAATCAAAAACACAAGAAACAACAACTATTGGTGATGATGTAGGGAAAAAGGAACCTCGTGCCCTGTTGGTGGGAATGCAAAACGGTGCAGCCACCGTGGAACACTGTATGGAGGTTCCTCAGAAAATTTAAATTAGAAATACCATATGATTCAGTAATTCCCCTACTGGGTACTTACTGAAAGAATGTAAAAAGATATATGAACCCATATGTTACTGCAGCATTATGTACAATATCCAAGATATGGAAGCAGCCCAAGTGCCCATCGATAGGTGACTAGATTAAGACGTGTATACATGTAGAGTGAAATATTACTCAGCCATAAAATAGAATAACACCTTGCTATTTGCAACAACATAGATAGATCTAGAGGTTTAATGCTAAAAATAAGTCAGAGAAAGACAAACACCAAATGATTCTACTCATATGTGGAATTTAAGAAACAAAACAAATGGACAAACAAAAAAAACCTCTTAAAATAGGGAACAAACTAGTGGTTATCAAAGAGAAAGGAGGTGGGAGGACTAAGTGAACTACGTGATGGGGATTAAGACATACTTATCCTAAGGGACACTGCACTGAGTTATGTGTAGAACTGTTGAATCACTATATTATACACCCGAAACTAATATAACATTCTATATTAATTATACTGCAATTAAAATAAAAAAAAAAACATTTTTTCTTGCTTCCTGTATTTATGAGGCCTGAATACAAAAACTGCTTTTAGGAGTTTTACAAAATCTTTTGAAAAATAGTTTTTTTCCCCAATTTTAATTCAATCTTAATATCTTGTTCTGACAGTTACTTTGAAAAAAAAAATTGCAGTAATACCTTAAGCTAAAAATCATAACCCGATTGGCTCTTTTTAGAACTAACTGCTCAATGATTACATTTGTGGAAACAATACTGTTCTCAAGTTTAAAGGCACTGGTTAGATCAAATGAAAGCATTCTCACATGGCTTCAATGTGTAGCTAGATAAATGACAGAAATGCTTCCATATGAGAAGTTATGCAAAAATATAAACTAGTATTAGAGCATAAGGAAGATAAAAGAATTCAACCTTTTGAAAGGCTACATCATTCATGCATTTGCTTATTCATTCAATAAAATATTGTGAAATAAGGCGAAAACCCACAGAGAATATAAAGATGGTTTCTCCAATGATCTAATAAAAGAATCATTAATTTTGATGACTATGGAAATATGTCTGAGTTCCAGAAGGAGCTTTAAATTTGGCTCTCATCCCAAAAGTAAAATGTTAAAGAAAAATGAAACAGCTTTCTCAAGTAAGTGAAGACAGGAGAAAAAGGCATAAAAAGGTTTGGGAGGTAAGGAGACTATTTAATCAGTATTTTAAGACTGCCCCATTTGATTTAATAGTGATTTCACTCATGTAGCAGTTGGAGAGAAATGTCAGCCCCTTGATATCTATGGTTATAAATAAAGCAAAACGAAGAAGTCTGAAATGCATAATTCTCTGTGGCTTGAGGTACCAGCAACACAAACTTCTCTTAAAAAAAAAAAAAAAGTGTGTGGGCAATCTTTCCATTTTTTACTGACCTTTTGACAAGCGAACAATTTCATGATTCACCAGAATTTTCAGTTTTCAAAAAGAAATACCACAAACATTTTGGCCTATAAATGTTCTTAAAATTTTAAGATAAAGTAGATGTTGAAGGTTACCAACTGTGTGTGTTAGGCTCAAAGTGTTAATATATGAGCTGTGACTTGAAGAAACTCTCTCATTTTGGACTCCCGGAATTGGGCAATGCCTTTCTGCTTTCTATGGTCCACAAGTATTTAATTAGCATACTTTTGGCTGTTATTCTAATTTAGAGGAGGATGAATCTTTCCTTTTAATTTTGCATTTGTGAATGGATATAGGAGTATTATAAATGGCTAGATTTCTGGAACACAAAACATTCATGTTAGTGGCAATAACAGTATTTCACCCTTTAGTGCCGAAAAATCATTCAGAATACATTTTATTTAAGAAACATGGAAAGGGCTTTAACATCTCTGAAGCCAAAAGTTAGAAAGCTTAACCACTTAGTACTGAGATAAGCATAGCACTTCATTAAGAGGAAAAAAAAAAAAGAAAGAAAAGAAAAGAAAAAAGGAAACACATTGTTCGAGTGAATTCACCAGCATCAAAGGACTAAGACCATCAAAAGTATATACCAACATTTTATAGGTCTCATTTCACCAGTTAACATGTAGACTTTTAACGAAGGCATGAAAACAATCTACGTGTAAGCAATCACTCTTCCCCCTTCACACTCAGCCAGGGTTCCGCCGGCATTCAAGGACTTTGAGTGTGCTCGCCAAAGTTCATGTCTGGGGAGGAAGTACCTAAAGGAAATCATCTCTATCTGCTACTTTGTGATAACATGATCCTCATTTCTCTATCTCGTTTACACACTTATTCTCTGTGCAGTGACACAAAGAAAGCCTGAACTGGGGCGCCAAGGCTTTCTCTCCCACCTGAATATCAGGTTTCAACCAAGCTCACACACCACCTCCTGGGAGAAGCAGTCCTTGATTCATTCAGTCATGAAGCAACTGCTGCTCTCTCTGTATTGTCCGAACAATTTCTTTGTGCCATTTTGAAAGTATCTGTCCTTCTCTGCCTTCTATTGTGCATGTGTCGTAAGTGTGTACTAAGTCATAAAAAGCTGTGAGCTTTTGAGAGATTCCGTCTTATATACCTTTTACTTCTTAGAGCAAGCTATTTCACTCAGTGAATGCTCTTCAAGTAAATATAGTATAACTGATATTTGCTTTGCAAGGATATAAAACTATTCAGTTATTAAAGCATACTTTTGGTGGCTGAAAAGGAAAATTAGCAATCAAAACACTCATAAACAATGTGCCAGTACAGTCTCAAAATATTCGAGTGAAATCCATAACCATGTGGAACCGGAGGCAGGACGAGGTCGTTCTTCAAAATCGGACACAGACTATAATGATCTCTACTTACTTGTCTCCAAAAAACTTTCTCCAGAATTCAGCAGCATCTGCTTTCGTGATACGAAAGTTATCTCCCTGGAACTGCCCATTGGGAAAGATGGCTTTGATTTCTGCCAGCATGTGACTGAAGATAAGGGACAGTTTCGTGAGATTTCGTCTGTGAACACAAGGCGGTAAATGAAAAAAATAAATAAACATATGTGCAAGTTTTAATGGGAATATATATTATGAAAGATAAAATTATGTACAGTATTAACATAGGTCTTGGGGGCGGATCACGAACCTCAACTTAAGAATGCATCTAAAAACAGTGTTCATACAAACTATCCACTTAAATTCCCAAGAGGCTTTCACTTTATGATTCACCCATGTGTTCGTTTAACATAAACATGAACAAGATAAATTACACGATTTCAATGGGCTCACAGTTGAATGGGAGAGTTGCACTCCTGTACACACAGAAGATAGAGTGACTACTTCTACATGGGGGAGTGAGGAAAGATTTGTCATTAGAGGAGAATCTACGAAGATTAAGCAGTTTGACAGATAAAAGACCTGGAGTGGAGGAAGGGAAGGAAGGAAAGGGAACCAGAAGGTATTGATGGGGCAGTAGCAACAGCTTCCATACAAAAGTATAGAGGGACGGGATAGAAGGCTTTGTGTCATAGCCGGGTTTAGCATGGCTAGAGAAGAGGAAGCTATTGAAGGAAATGGCAAGACACAGGATGAGAAATTTTGGTGGGGACAGCACATAAAGAGGCCCCTGAAACAATGAACAAAACTCGTTGTCAAACAGGCTTTCTACTCCCACCAAGAAATGAGAGTTTCTGGTGATGGGTTCCAGGTATGTGCATAATTCCAGAAGCTCCCTGAGTGATTCTAATGTACTCCCCTTGCTAAGGGCTACTGCTGGAGGCAACAGGGAACCAAAATGGATTAAAAAGATGGAGCAGAGGATTAAATCTGCTTCAGAAAGAAAAAGTTACGGTGGTATTAAAAAAATGGTTTGGAATGGAGGGAAAGGCAGGTGTGATTTCCGGAGATTCTGACAGGATTCAAAATATGATTCACACTTCAAAATACTACTATCACGGGCATTCCTTCCCACCACTTCCTAAGAAGTTTACAACATTATGTTCATCAGTCCAAAACTGCTAGTGCAAAACAGTAAAGAAGCAACTGAAACACAGAACACTGAAGAACTGGTCAGTTTTGAACTGACCTTGCTTCTTTATATCTCTGTTTCTTCAGAATCACCAGACCTCAATAGGTACACATATAATACTCTATTTTGAAACTTCAGCTGCTTTTGTGGGTGTGTTGACGGGTCAGGATGTGAGGATGGGATGAGTCAATTGCTTTAGGACTAAAAGTAAATATAGACGATAATTAGAGAAAGTCATCAAGTCTGCACTGCATTGAAGATCTTACAATGTTTCAGTAGGCCCAGGACACTGAGAGATGTGGTTCTTTACCTCATAGTCACATATCTGTGCTTAATAACTCTCAGATAATAAGTGAAAACATGTTAGGTACCTAAGAGATCATATAATTTGCACCTGTCAATAAAGTCAATGAGTACCACTCTTTCTAAAACATTTCAGAAAGAAGCCAACAGCTTCCCATGTAAGATGAATACAGAATACATGAAGGTACTCATGATAAAAAGTGGGCAAAGTAGGAATGAAAGGAAAGCAAGAGAATAATCTATACCTCAATGAGTTCATCTGTATTGGAAAACCAAAAATGTCCCAATTTCCACAATGTTTATAAATCTATGAGAAGATTTATGAGAAAGAAGAGTCAGAATTTTAGGCCATATTTTAATGCTTGACTGGCAACAATAAACAATCTGCAAAATCGTTATGGTTGCACACATTGTTCCATTATTTTCTTAGATTCAGCCACACTTCCACACAATTCAGCCTAATCCAAATGTGAGTGTTCTTTAGTTGAGTCCTTGATCTTTTCATTGATGTCAACACATCCTCATTTAGATGATGGTAGATACAAGAAATTCAGTTGTAGGAAATGAAAACTGAACTACTGAACCAGATCAAAGGGAGGAACTGTGGCCAGTTCTGACTTTTGAGCAACTGACTTTTGAAATTGGAGTTTAAGGAAGGGCATAAAGTCCTTTTAGAAAATCTGCAACAAATTTATTTATATCATTAGGCAAAAGGGTTAATTTTCCACCAAACTTCCAATTGATACACACAGGAGAAAAAAGAAAAATCAAGATGTCTATAATTAGGGTAAACCAACTGTTCCTTATGTCTGAACTGGTTGCTCTCCAACCCTTTATGTCTTTGTTCTTTAATCATAATCCTATCCAAATGTTTTTCATTTTTATTTGTTAGATCTAAAGTCTGAAGCACAATGTCAATGATTACCCATCTCAGCTATGTGATCCACTGGCTATAAGACACCCTACTTTAAAGCAGAAATAGTAACATGATAGAGTCTAGAAGCTCTAGTAATCACTAGTACCTGTAGAACTAATCATCTACTTAATTATAAAATGTTGGGAAACAGGGGTGCTGGGTGGCTCACTTAGTTAAGTGTCGGACTGCGGCTTGGGTTGTGATTTCAGGGTCCGGGGATCAAGCCCCACATTGGGCTCCCTATTCAGGGAGCCCATTCAGTGTGGGTGGGCCTACTTCCCTTCTCCCTTCCTCCTTCCAACTCATGGGCCCTTGAGCTCTTTCTCTCATAAATAAAACCTTTATAAATAAATAAATAAATAAAATGTGTGAAAGAATTCAATTTTCCCACTCCTACAAATGGATTGCCACACTTTTTACTTTTTGTACAAACTACGGCAGTGGAAAAAGATACATTTTTTTGCCCTTAGTCTGTCTGTCTGTCTTTCTTTCTTTCTTTCTTTATTTATTTATTTATAAAAGATTTTATTTATTTATTTGACAGACAGAGATGACAAGCAGGCAGAGAGGCAGGCAGAGAGGGGGCGGGAAGCAGGCTCTCTGCTGAGCAGAGAACCCGATACGGGGCTCGATCCCAGGACCCTGGGATCATGACGTGAGCCGAAAGCAGCAGCTTGAACCCACTGAGCCACCCAGGCACCCCTGCCCTTAGTCTTTAAAGAAACTAAAATTCAAGTTGTTAAAAATATGTGAATGCAATAGTTTTGCATTACCTTAATTTTCACACAGACCAAAATATATATTTATTTTATACCTAATTTTTAAATACACACATGTACCACATATATGTAAATGATCACCTTGGAAATCCATTATTTAAAAGGTCCATGTTTTTAGAGGCTGCAATCCGTAAGACATGAAAAGAAGAGATGCCTAATTGTACTATCCAATGTCATTTAAATTTATTATCACAGCATGTGGTTTTGTCTTTTATATAACTGTGGAGTTTTGCTGTTGTTTGCTATTATTTATATTATGTGCTTTAATTCCCCATCTTACTTTTTCTTTAAATAACTTCCAATTTTGAAAAAACAAAATCCAAGAATATATCTCTAACCATCTAGACACAGAAGAAAAGCAACAACTATACATCTTCTTTATAGATGAAATGTTTGTTCCTATTATGAAATTTTTCCATACTTGGCCAATTTTCCCTAAGCCCCCTGCTCGCTGCTCACCATTTCACCAAAATGATGACTGTTTAATAGAGGATAATTACTAATTAAGAATATACTTCTATCACTAAAACTCCCCTACCTCCAAACATCTAAAGAAATAAAAAACTTTGCCCACTCAATAATCTTGTAAACATAACTTTAACTTTACAAGGAATTTTGCAACACTCTCACATGTAAGAAATATTTTATTTTGACTATTTACTGCCACATATCTGCTATTAATCGCCACAAGCTAAGCCACTTTTACAATTTTGTTAAGTGTTTTATAAAAATTGTTAATTAAGAAATAGGCTCTAGAACAGAAGCATTTTGAAATACCAGGTGATCAAAAAGTAGCTTCCAGATGGCAATACTGTGTAAACCAGTAAAAGATGTAAATATTAGAGGAAACCTGAAGAAGAAGAAGGGAGGAGAAGGAAAGCTAGCTGTATTATTTAAAAAACCATGAAATGCATTAGCAGTGTCAAGAATATTGCCCAGAATGGGGCATCTGGGTGGCTCAGTGGGTCAAGAGTCTGCCCCTTGATTTTGGCTTAGATCATGATCTCAGGGGCAAGAGAGGGAGTCCCATGTAGAGCTCTGTGCTAGGCATGGAGCCTGCTTAAGATCGTCTTTAAGATCCTCTCTTTGCCTCAGCCTCCCCACCCAACCTGCTCTCACTTTCCCCACCTCTCTCTCTAAAAAAAAAAAAAAAAAAAAAAAGAATATTCCCTACCAAAGCAAGGTGCCTCTTTTTGTCTTGGATTCAGCTACCCAACACTGTATTTCTTTCAAATGGTATGAATCAATTCATCCAAAAGTCAAGTTACATTTAACTGAACAGAATGCGAGGTTGAATCAGAGTGAATTAGCATGATTCTGGAATGATGAAGTTTCTCTGCTTATGGTAAGTCTCAGTAGGTTTAGGTGGCTACAGCCAACATCAGAGACTGAGGCACACACTATTTGATGTGAGATGACACAATCCCACCCTTAATACACGCAGCACGTTGTATGGCAGAAAAAGACATGAATAGATTATCATGATACAATATCAAGGGGCAACACATCAACTGTAGCCATCTTGGGGTGATAAATTAAACTTGAAAAATGAATAAAAAGTACATCAGGATTTGATGTGTAGCCTCCACTAAATGTGGGAGACACATGAAGAATGTAATCTAATCAGATCACATGTAGTTCTTGCATTTTCTCCATTCAGGAAACAGCTGTGTCATAAATCAAGGAAGAAATAAAAAAGCTTTAAAGGCTGCATTAATGAAAAACTTCAAGGGACACTTTGGATCAGTGAGGTCCAAAGTTTGTGAGAATATACTACCTTTGGTAGAAGAAAGAGAAGACCATTTTTCATCCCCAAACTATTAATAATTCAATTCTCACATTTAAAAGGTAGAACATGCTCCTCCTAATCTTTACAAGGTGAGACAAATTCAACATAAAAAGAAAGGCAGGACATAAAGAATATAAACAGCGGCATTTAAAATGAGACTCACGTCCAGTTAAAGAGCAATTTCCATTCACTGTATTTCTGAGGC